AAAAAAAAAAAAAAAAAAGCCGTCCAGCTGCACCCACTTCAGCCAGCAGCCTTCCTCATTCCCCAGACCTGCTAACAGGGATCAGGGAATACCCTCAGTCTTCTCCCTAAGGGTACTGTAGTATATGGGCTGGCAACCTGGGTAGGGGCCCGGCCCTTCTTCCCTTCCTCTAACCTTGCCTTTGGGAAGGGAGTCAGATGGCCAGCTTTTGTGCAGAAGCTGCAGATCAAAAGCCAGGCCCAGCTGCATGGAGCAGTACAGACTGGTAACATCCTTGAGATCAGGGCATCTCTCTGAGTGATTCTCACAGGGGGCAGATGGTAGCACCACAGCGGGGAGGGAAGGAAGAGGCTCTGAGGGTCCAGGCAAGGTGCAGTCAGCTCCGCTGCAGTGAGACTGATCAGTGCTTGGGGTGGCGCTGAGGGAGAGCGCAGTGATTCCTTTGGTAAGGTGGCTGAAGGGATGGGAAGGCAGGAACGGGAACAGGATGCTTAGGATGGAAGTTCAAGGTTCTCATGCCCAGTGGACCATGTCACCTCTGATAAGACAATAGCTGCAGAAGGGGTGAAAAAACGGCCCACTTGGCCCTTCTCTCTGGCCATAGGTCCAAGACTCTAAATCTGAATACAGGCTGGGACATCTTGCAGAAACTGTGGGGCAAGCTTGTGTTTCCTGCTGATTCAATTGCAGACAGCTGACCAAGTTCCACCATGTTCTTCCCTCTGCTGCCTTACGTCGAGGGGATTAGGAGAGTGCTTGCTTTCCAACTGCTGCACAGACCTCAACCCTTACATCTGACACCAGGTAAAGAGAACCGCAGCAGAGACCACCATTGGGGAAAGATGAGGAATGACCCAATAAATGAATGAGTGGGAAACCAAGTTTCTGGTCCAGTCAGCTCAGGGCCTGCTTCCCTACACTCTGAGGCACTGGCCAGGTGGCTGCAGAGATGTGTGGTTGAGGGAAAGCAGCAGGGTCAGGAGGTCCAGCTAGAGATATGGCATGCTACTTGGGGGCCTCTCTTGGGCCTGTTCTCCTTCCCTATGGGCAGTGGTTCCTGGGCCTGACCAGTGTGACGGGCCAGTTAAGTCTGGGAGGGCTGCAAGTACCACCGGTCCTGGCAGGGGCCTGGCTCCCAGGAAGTTCTGAACCAAACCATCCCTCTTGTCCCAGAGCCCCTAGCCGTGCCCTCAGAAAGGTGGCCGGAAGGCCATGTGTTCGTACTGAAGTTCCAGGCCAGAAGCCAGGTCCACCCTCAGTTGAGGTAGCACCATTACCCTCTCCCCACATCCTCCTGTCTTCCTTTTTACCTCTCCTATTATGCAGTTACACTTTACTGTGGACTCCTGGGCCTGTTTCTGGATAAAATATCCCTGCCTCATCACAGAACTGATTTACTGCGTGAGCCAGATAGTTTAAGGAACAAATCATGTCTTATTTACACAATTGAACGTGGTACAACTAGAAAACTGGGGGGGGACATAAACACTTTAGACCCCACTGGTGGCTGGGCACAGTGGCTCAGCCTGTAACCCCAGCACTTTGGGAGGCTGAGGCGAGTGGATTGACTGAGCCCAGGGGTTCGAGATCAGCCCGGACAACTTGGCAAGACCTCGTCTCTACAATCAGTAAAAAATTAGCCAGGCTACGGTAGCAAGCACCTGTAGTTCCGGCTACTTGGAATGCTGAGGCAGGAGGATTGCCAGAGCCCAGCAGGACGATGTGGGGTGGCCATGAGCGTGCCACTGCACTCCCGCCTGGGAGACGGAGGCACCAAAAAAACATTCACTGGGGTCCCCCATGTCACCATCATAGGGGTAAGTAGGATGACCATATAATTAGTCAAATAAGGACAGATGACAGTAAACAGGAACACGTATTACATCTCCAATAGGTGTAAACCGGCACTGTCACGAGCAAATTTTGAGTTGGAGTCTCACTTTCACCCAGGTTGTGGTGGTAGGATCATGGTTCACCGCAGCCTCAACCTCCTGGGCTCAAGCGATCCTCCCACCTCAGCCTCCCGAGTAGCTGGCAATACCGGCACGCACCGCACACTCGGCTAATCTGATTTCATGTAGCAATGAGGTCTGTGTTGCCCAGGCTGGTCTCAATCCTCTTGCTTCGGCCTACCAAAGTGGTGAGATTACGGGATGAAGCCACCACGCCCGGCCTGTCTCAAGAAAAGGAATATACCCGTCTTACTACTGAATGTGTATCCCCAGTCCCAGCTGAATTACAATGCAATGCTTTTCGGACACTTCCCCAAATTGTTTTTGGAAGACATCACCATTCAAAAGAAAACCAAAACAAAATGAGAAAATCTTGTAGCTTCAAAAACTTTTATTTGTCTCGGACATCCATCAAGGCCACAGGATACCTTCAGCCCCAACTTTTGCTTTTCTCCTTAGATTCTGCTCCATTGCCCTCACTTCAGGGATATCCTGTATAGGCAGCTTCCTAGAACCAAGGGATATTTTTGCCTTCTGGGTTGAGTGTTCAAGCAAAGTGTAGAAGCACAAGTTGCACGACTTAAACTGCAGATTCCAAGCTGCGCGATATAATCCAACAGCCTATGTCACACTGCAGCCTGGGGGAGAAAGGTCATTAGTGCCACCCATTTGGGTTGTCACATGTAGTAATAAGCTTACTTTCACCACGGCTGGGTTTCTCTAGTTTTTCCAGACACTGCCAGATACTCCAGAGCACAGCACATCCCAATGTCTGTGATCCCAGTCTCATTCAGAAGCACACTGTGAACAAACTATCAAAATTTCTAAGAGTGCTTGTTTCAGATCTGCTTATGATGGACCTTCTAGAAAACCAGTTCATTATAGCGTACTGGATTCAATCTTTGACATCTCAGGGGAGACTAAGTTATCAAGACCCCAAAGACACATAAAAGATCTTGCGCCTCTCAAGCTGATTACATTTGAAACTAAATTTTTTAAAAAGCAATTTTTTAATAGGGTAGAATTTTCTTTATGCAGTTACTAGCTTCAAATAGGAATGCTTTTAGATGACTGGCAACTCATGCCTGTGTCTTGCTGACATTCACATACTATGCTTTAGTAGCAGCCATCATTAAGAAAACTGGTTTTCATGGGAAGAGCATATTAATATAGTTTGTCTTAAGCCCACACTGCAAATACGGCAACATTATGGCATTTTTATAGAGCAAAGGGCTGTTCACATGCTTTCTACAAGTATCTCTGTAAATAAAAGGTCCCTGTGTCTACCAAGCAAAATCTGCAATCTAAGCTCAAACATTAGGATACAAAAACCCTAGAAATGGATTTATTAAAGCTCTGCACATTCAATTTAGGTTTTTGACACTTAGTTGGATAAACAAGTTTATTTGTAAATTTAGTCAACATACATAATTGACCTAAAAACTTCAATAGGATAAATTTTAAAACCACTTGGAAGGCCATCTCTATAAAAGTGAATTTCCCAAGACAGTAACCAGATGTAACCTAACCAGACACCACTTTAACTGGCAGAAGTTCAATGAGCTGGAACTTTGTGCTCCTCCCCCACAGCAACTTTATGCTAGGGTTATTATAATACAAACTCCACAAGGAAAAGAACTTCGTTATTGTTTCCTCTTAGAAGAAAAACTCAACCTAGTTATGAGACCAACCACAACACAATGAAAGCTGCACTAACTAGTTCAGAATATTAGTAACAGATGATGCTGGTGTGAATAACTTGTATTTTTATTCTAGAGCCCTTATAAATAAAATCCCCCAGTTAGTGTTTGCATTATCAGCTAGAGGGTTAACATGTGGTAGAATGAGGACTTATGCAAGGTATAATGCACATAGCATTTTACTACTATGAAAATAAGTGCAGTCTAGTTAGGAGAAAACCAACTGGACTCTAAATTACACACACCTTAATGACAAGACTCCCCACCACTTGTGAATGTAAAACATTTAATTTAAAAATGTTGACACTACAATATATAAAATAGCTATTATAAATGCACATAGTGTATTCTATAGCTGCCAGGTTTACTTTTTTTTTTTTTTTTTTTTTTTTTTAAGGAAACTGTAAGTTACACTGTGGTTAAGACTTGTATCTTCACCCTTGAAAAAGCCCACATTCTATCACAGTGATGTATGGTCAGACTTAACAGCCCCAATTGTTAAACACTTGGATCAAGTCATAACCAGTTTTATTGCAAAAGGACCCTGTACACATTTATTTATCAATTCTAGTACCTTAATAGCTACCCAACAAGTCATTAACATACAGAAACATGCATCATGAGAAGCAAGAAATATCACCCATCCCTTCTGCATATTAGCAACTTGTCACTCCTGAGCAACAGTGCTCACATCACTGAGGTCTGTGAACAGTCACTTTTCGCATTCATCCTGAGTGAAAGATGGAATGACTTAAGTACAAATGCAACATATTATAAACAATTTCTTACAAAAAAAGTCACAAATTAAACCAAAGTATTTTACAGAATTTACTACAAAACGCCATAAAAACTGCCTTTGCTTAAGCTCTCTCTCCCCGTATCCGGCGAGCCAACTGGATGTCTTTGGGCATGATGGTGACTCTCTTAGCGTGGATGGCACACAGATTAGTATCTTCAAACAAACCCACCAGGTACGCTTCACTAGCCTCCTGTTGAGGACAAGAGCCACACTATTAATCTGCCTTCCGGGGGAGACCCCGCAGTCAGCCCCTCCTCCCGAGCTGCGGGCCTTTGTCTGCTTACCTGAAGCGCACCGATGGCCGCACTCTGAAACCTCAAGTCGGTCTTGAAATCCTGGGCAATCTCCCTCACCAACCTCTGGAAAGGCAGCTTCCGGATGAGAAGCTCGGTCGACTTCTGGTAGCGACGAATCTCTCGGAGCGCCACGGTCCCGGGCCTGCAGCGAGCAGAGGAGGGAGTAAGCGGACGCCGAGCGCCAGCGCGGACCCAGCGTCGCCGCACGACGCCCGCCGCGGCCAGTCATTGTTTCCAGTCGGCTTTGCCTACCTGTAGCGATGAGGCTTCTTCACCCCGCCGGTAGAGGGGGCGCTTTTCCTGGCAGCTTTGGTGGCCAGCTGTTTGCGCGGGGCTTTCCCACCCGTGGATTTACGCGCAGTTTGCTTGGTTCGGGCCATCTTCTCCTACCTGCAGGGGAAAGAAGCCCTGAAAAGGAGACCAGGGGACTCTTCCGAGCCGCCCCCCAGCTGGCACCCCGGGAGCGGGGGGGAGCCTCGCCCTTCGGCCTCTTCGCACCCCACCTCGCGGCGGCAGATGGCCGAGGGCCGCCGCTGCCTCCTCCGCCTCCTCCCCCTCCCCTAATGACTCAGTCTGCGAGTACCAGCAGCCTCCCCCGGGAGGGGGGGCACGGGGAGGAGCCACTTCCCTCCTGCGACGGGCGGAGGCTCGACTGCCCGGAACCCGGCGTCAGGACCTCTGAATCACCACCGGGAAGAAGGTGGAGACGCGGCTCCGAAACGAAGCCCCAAGGGAACACCACCAAGACCCCACACCCGACGCCAGCGGCCCGGGCAGGCCCCGCCACTCAGCGGTCAGCTCCTAACGGCCGCGACCCGCGACGTCAACGGCTGGCAGAGCCTCAAATGACGGGTAGATCCACGAACGCTTACCTCACGCCGAAGTCTTAGGCCACCACTCCGAACGCCGTGCCGACTCTGCTGCCAATGAAGAGCCGCAGTCGCCGAGCAAAGAAAAGTCACTCCTCCAACGAACGACCAAACCGCTCTGCGCTCCAAACCCCCCCGACGCCTTCCTATTTATAGCCACGCTTCACGCTGCGTCTCTGCGTCACAGAACCCTTATTTGCATACACCAACGACCTTTTCTATTGGTGGGTGCTTTCGCCGACGCTCTGACATCCCCCGACACAAAGGCCGTGCTTCGGGCCTGTACCCTGATTGGTGGACATCTAGGGCGCTGATTGGCTGTTAAAGTGGCCTACTGATTGGATAGATGCAAAGAGGAATGGGCGAATCAGAGTTTAGCACTAAGCGGCTCTTCTGATTGGCTAAAATGGAGCTATGTTTGGATCCTTCCCTTGGTTCCAAAGCTCTACAATGGAAAGTCAATGCAAATGAATTGCTTTGGTCTCTATCCGGATTTAAGACAGTCCGGATGAGCAGAAGCCTAAGCTTATTTGCATCAAGCTAGTGCGATGCCGGAGGAGAAACTACTTACTGAAATTTTTGTAAATATTTTGCATAAGATTTTGATTAAGTATGTAGTGTGAGAATTACAATTCAGTAAATCCTGTTACATTATTAAGTATTGAATATATCATGCATATACATTTCTAACCAAAAAAGCAATTCCCTTAAACAAAAGGTGGGGTGGGGAGGAGTAAATAACAGATAAAAATAAAGTACTGTTTTGTATGTTTTTAGGCTGTCACTAAATATTTTGTGATTTCAGCCGGGTGCCATGACTCACGCCTGTAATCCCAACACTTTGGGAGGCGGAGGCGAGAGGACTGCCTGAGTCCAGGGGTTCGAGAAGAGCCCAGGCAACTTGGTGAGACCTTGTCTCAGCAATAAATCAAAAACATTAGCCGGTGTGGTGGCATGCGCCTGTAGTTCCAGCTACTTGGAGGTGGAAGGATTGCCCAAAGCCAGCAGGTCAAGGCTGTGCTAGCTGTGATCATGCCACTGTACTCCAACCTGGGTGACAGAGTGACTCTGACTCAAAAAAATATTTATGTTAAAGGAAAAATAACTAAATATGTGCCCTTGTGTTTAATGGTATATCCTGGTAGGTATTATTCATGAAGAAACATGACAGATGTATAACTATGCTAATCTTTAGCTTTGTCTAAATAAATATCTCAGACGGATTGCAATATCCAGTTCTTCAGATGCCTAAAGTATATAAAATGTCAAATCAGGCTTAAGATTAATACTAACCAAGCAAAGCCTAGAAAATTGAATAGAGCATTGGACATTCTACTCTGTTGTCCTGATACTTGGTTATCCAAATATTCCAAATTACTGAAATAAAAAGTGCAGAAACAGGTATATATAGAATTCAATTCAGAGAATTACTGAACATAACCACAAATACCACATTTACTTGCCACACCAAAAGTCCTGTATCAGTATCAACAGTGAGATAAACACACAGTTTGAAAAAAAGTAGCTTGTTTTTGGCTCAGTCTTTGGTATCAAATTCCTCTATTTCAGCCTTCTTAATCTTAACATGCACAATATGTATTTAATCATCACAGACCTAAATTGTATATGATAACTTTCATTCCTGCCTTTTACTCCAAATTTGAGATAGGGAAAACATTTACATTATTTCACTCATGCCATGCTGAGAAGAAAAACCAAGATGGATTCTCATGTTTTGTTCTCAGAATCCATGTAAAACTAAGAAAGGACAATGTTTAGATGCACATAGGGAACTGTCAAATTCTCTGCGATTCAATGAGAAAAACATCTTGCTGTCTTTTTTTGACTGCTCAACTGGCCTGGCAGAGGAAAGGGCTTCTAAATGGATATTCCCTGTGTTCCATGGTTTTTCTACGTGATTTAGAACCCTGTCGTGACCATGACTCCAAGTACAGAGACAGTCCAGCCATTTTCCTCCCAGTTTTGCTAATTATTAGAAACTGAAGCCACCCCATGGAGAAACAAGGTATGGGTTTACATTCACCGATTGAAGGATGATTAGTGGAAACAGTCTGTCATACAGGTATATTTTTATTTTTCCTTAAGTTGGTACAAAGGAGAAAAAGCAACACAGGAAATGTGAAAGAATGAGAAACGTCTATACAATGAAAACAATAGTGAATGTGATGCAGCCTACAGGCCACTGTTCCAGTTCCTGTTCTGTCACCCTCTAACTTTGTGCCAGTTACTTAATTTCTCTGGGTTTCGGTTTCCTCTTTTGTAAATTGAGCAGTCTGGATGATATCATCTCCAATTCTACCAGTACACACTTATTCTGAAGCTCATGGTATTCATCTATTATTTAAATTTTAGTACTGTGAACTGTATTTCTTCAGCTAGACCACACTCGGGTATTTTGGGAATAACATATAACCAACTACTTAAAGCAATATACTACAACTTTTATTTGTTCTTTTGTAATTTTTCATTTTCAAAACCCCCCTAGTGGCTGAGCAATTGATTTGACCTCTTTAGGAAATACCAGTTTCTCAACTTTTTTTCTTTTTTTGAGTCAGGGTCTCAACTCCGTTGCCCAGGATGGAGTGCAGTGACTTGTTCACAGCTCACTGTAGCCTCTAACTCCTGGGCTCAAGCGATCCTCCTTCCTCAGCCTCCTGAGTAGCTGGGACTACAGACACATGCCACCATGTCCAGGTAATTTTACATTTTTTGTGAAGTCAGGATCTCACTTAGTTGTCCAGGCTAGTCACAAACTCCTGGCCTCAAGAAATCCTCCTACCTGGGCCTCCCAAAGTGCTGGGATTACAGATAAGCCACCGTGCCTGGTCTCCAGATAATTATTTGATGTTTTTGTGGAGACCAGGTCTCCTATGGTGCCCGGGCTGGTATTGCAGTCTTCAACTTTGTAAGATGACAATTTGCCCTCTAACGTGAGGTAACTTGGAGCTATATAAAATAATTACGTGTCACTCAAACATTAACAATTTTCCACAACCCCCACCATCCTTCACCCCTAAGATTATTCAGAATGCTTCTGTAATGAGACAATTATTAACTAACATAATTCCATTTAATAAAATGTAAATAAAAAATAATGGATATGAAATAGTTATAAGACAAAGAAAGTTAAATGACAACAGTTAAAATACCCATGAAGGGCATCATACAGCTCACAGAATCAAATGCCTTGGTCTCGGGTAACTGACTTATTTTTCTTTCTTTCCATTTTTTTTTTTTGAGTTGGAGTCTCGCTCTGTCGCCCAGACTGGAGTGCAGTAGCCACCGCAGCCTCAACTTGCTGGGCTCCGGCGATCCTTCTGCCTCAGCCTTCCAAGTAGCTGGAACTACAGGTGCGCGCTACCACACCCGGCTAATTTTTTGATTTATTGCAGAGATGAGGTCTCGCCAAGTTGTCCAAGCGGGTCTCGAACCTGCGGGCTCAGGCAATCCACTCACCTCAGCCTCTCAAGGCGCGGGATGACAGGCTGAGCCGCTGAGCCCGGCTCTGACTTATTTTTCAAAGTGGAGAACTTTGCCTGATTGGCAGGAAGCGTGAAGGGAAAGGTATTTCCCCCAAGTAAAAAGGCTGTTGAGCAGAGAAGGGAACTAGGGTGATAATAACTTGCATCTCCTACTCAAACTCTTCCTCTAGACACCATTGCGATGCTTCCCAACACCCCTGCAACTTGTCAGTATACTTCCGAGACTACTCTAGCTGGAGATTAAATTCGTCCTTGGCCCTTCACGGACTGGAAACAAGTCGGTCAGGCCAGGTGTCAAGTTGAGCAGGGACCCAAGTCGGGGGAGTTCCAGGTTTCAGGGTTGGTGACGGCAATTGAGTGTCCCGGCAAAGGCGCGGGAACAGTGTTGTGTAGAGTAGCTACACTACCCAGGGATGAGGAGGATGTTAGCGGACTCCAGGATCCCGCTGTACGAAGGCCCAGACCTATGAACCAACGAGTACAGATTCTTTAAGCCCTACTTGGAGGCACTGCTCCGAGTCGGCATCAGAACTGTCCTAAGTACGGAAGCAAGGTGATCATTGCGCTGCTGGCAGTGAAATGACACTTGGAACTGTCTCGCAGACGTCGTTAAGGCCTCCCTAGCTCTGGGTCCCCTTTACTCCGGGGGCTTCAGTTTCAAGGAAAGGATCCCCTATGAACCTGAAAACGCGCTATTAAGAAGGAGAAACGCGACCGAACTGCAATTCCCAGAAGCCGTCGCAGGCGCTCCGCATCCGGGACATCCGCTGCGAGGTCTCCTGGGTGTTGTGGTCCTGTGCTTTGCCAGCAACCCTCTGCCGACGGTAAAATTCCTGCCGAACAGAGGACCACAACTCCCAGCACCCCTTGCTGCCGTGTGGGGGGTCTTCACGTTCTCGTGGCGCGGCGCAGGCGCGCTGAGTCCTCGGCGCGGACCGCGCAGACTGAATAATAAAAGGGGAGCGGCGAAGAGGCAGGAAGACAGGACCATGTCGAAGGGCCCCGGGCCCGGCGGCTCCGCAGCTTCCTCGGCGCCCCCGGCCGCTACCGCTCAGGTGCTGCAGGCACAGCCCGAGAAACCGCAGCACTACACGTACGTAGAGCCCCCCCCGCCGCGCGCGCACGCCTGACGTCAGCGGCCAGCGTGAGTCACGCGCGCAGGGAGAGCGCGAGGCGGCCTCTTCCTCCCCCCCTTCCTCCTCCGGCCCGGCCCAGACCGGTTCCAACCTGCTGGGGCCGGTCCCAACTGCCTCCAACTGCCACCGACCTCTGGTCGGGCCGTCGGGCGGGAAACTCGGTCCCGGCCGCCGAGCGGGGAAGGCGGGCGCGCGGGGTGCGGAGTGTACACTCCTCAGGCTGGGCCTTCGAGGCCTGCCTGATCCTCAGACTGTAAAGCCACAGTTCTAGGCACCTTTGGGGCCATGAGGAGTCCAGGACACGACCAAGACGAGTTCCGTAGGGCCCGGCCCAGGGCCACCTATGAATGCCGATTAGCCCGAAGGTCCCGTCAGGAGCCTCCATGCGGTGTGCACAGGAAGCCTTTTGTGTCCCTCAGGCTCGTAGGTTGCCCACGAGGGCCACCCTTGCGTGAATCCACTTAGAACAGTCGGCGCACGT